AAAAAAATACAAGAGCGACAAAATTATTTTTTCCACAACTAATTAACGGCAAAAAAACGGCAAATTCATAGGTATATGCGACATTTTTTTCTTCATGTTGTTTCGCTAACTTTATACACATAGGTATTGGCTCACACAGTGAGCGTCACCTATGCTTTCTGCTGTCGCATTTAACATGGAGTTGTCCTAGGAGGTGACAATTAATCCCGCTACGTAACTTTGTCCTAGTACTTGTAGTAGTAACACGTGGCTTGTAACCGAACCACGTTTTGTATCTCGCTGCGTAACCTGATACTAGTAATAATAAAGACTTCCATAACAAAACATATTTACTTGCGTTTGATGAAATCCTTGTTAATTGCTTGGCAAGCAAAATTATAATGGCATAAAATAATGTCAAGAGCAAGTAATTATGTACCTTTGTACTATTTAGCATGTCATTTGACGGTAACAAGAGCAAATTCAATTTAAATCTATTAAATACATTCTAGCGTGTCTCAGTCCTTTACCCACAAAAGCGGCTATAACTTTTTTTTTTTCTTTTCAAAACAGTAAGTGTGGCACCTTTCTGAAATCTTTATTAAATGAGCAATTTTTTTATGTAATGTAAAGTTATAGCTCAGTACATTTTTTTTTCACCCGAGATAGTCAAAGTTGGGGAAGAAAATATCAAAAAGTTAAAAATCCAGAAATAGTCCTAATTTTATGATGGTTCCTTAATTTATTTTAACTACATTGCATTTGAGTATGGAGAGGCAACTATCTGGAAGTATTTTACATAAAAAATTTACTAAGTATTGCCCGGTTTGTAGTTGCAGTTAAAGAAAACACATGAAAAGGCACGATTTTTTTTAAATTCGAAAAAATGTAAATATTTCAAAAACGGTGACACTTTTACCTGAAAATTTTTTGTTTATCAGTGAGCTCACCCCCCCACCTACCTTGCCCTAAAGTTTGGCACGTTACTTCTGGGACACCCTGTATACATACATACATATTTCCGTAATGAAAGCAAGAGCCCAGCAAGAACAGTGACGGTCACTTTCCTGTGACGTGCCCTCACGCGTGCCCGCTAAGTTCGGCACGTTTTGCTATCACAATCTTAATAGTGAATCAAAAACGCTTCCAGAAGTTTTTTGTACGTGTGATTTTTCAAATCAAATAGTTTGCCTGCTTGCTCATATGCGAAATATACCTCGCAAGAAAAAACAATAGATGGCACTCCAATCAAAAATTATTACAGGTGTGTTAGTAACACCGTATAATTTGCATTTGTGTTGGTGTTTCGGTCACGCTGTTTTGCTGGGGAGGCGTTTACCACAAATTTATGTCAGCGACAAAAATAAATGAACACACAAATATCATGCAAAGGATATTTGTGAACTCAGAAAACACAAAAGCGTTGTAATAGCACACAAGAAAATATATCAGTGTCACCTAGCTACAAGCAGTGCGCCACTCACTAAAGACCAATCTTTACGGGGAAGAATAATAAGGATCCACGACATTCGATTTTAATGCTTTTGAATGGTAATGACGACCAACCCAATTATGCAAATTATTTAATATAATGTATTCATCGAAAACCATTCAAAACCTTAAGAACGCTGCTTGAAATTGAGAATGAGACGAACTAGCAACAACCAACGACAAAGCGGCAACAAGCAGTGAGCAACAGGCTCCATGTTCCAAACGATTAAGCGATTAGGGACGTTGTCAAAAAATAAAAACAAAGTAAAATAACAAATTATGCAAATTTTCGCCTGCTTGCCACTACGAATCATTGTGAGTTGGTTTACTTTTCTTGGCAAGGATACATTTGGCACACTTACAAAATATTAAACTATCACCGGACTAAAGGATGGAAAGCATAAAATAGAGATTCTTGAATGAACATACATACATATGTCCTCTAGGAAAACCGCGAGACAAAAGAATTCATATATAACTAAAGTATTTAGAGAAAAACAGACGACCTACGTATCGGCTAACTAAGTAAATCCATACTATTCATGAGTTGGCGCAGAGCTCCCATGCCGACTAACAGACAGGCAAGAGACGCGATGCCGAATTGTAGTATTTGTTTATGGAAGCGGAATGTTTTCTGTTTCACAAGTGCTCAGCTGGCGGTAGGGGAGCAAGGAAAGCCATTTGGCCAGGCAGTGTTTAATAGATAACGTTAATACCTTTACTCATACGTTCACTTTGTGTAGAGAGCTGTAAAGTATAATTGTTGATCTCAAAATGAGCCGGTGTGCTTTGCCTTATCAACAAGTTGCCATTTAGTTTAATAACATTATGAGCTGGGAATGTCCTTTTGTTAAAGAAACTTTCCTTCCAAAGACTTTCATATTGTGTGAGCGCCAATT